TTATTCCTCAATATCCCTGCTGTGCTGTCAGAGGATGCTGCAGGCTGCACCTCAGAGGGCTGACACATCCCCACCTCCCCTGTGCCCCCACAGATCTTCCCCAGCTCACACTGATTGCACTGGGCCTGAGCCCTGCTCCAGCCAGGCCTCTGCCTCCTGCCTGAAGGTAATTTTTTCCTCTTCGGTCAACCAACTCAAAATTGGGTTTGTGCATTAAAGTGAAATTTAATTTCTAGGCCATTACCCCAATGTAGTCTAGTTCCTGTGTCTGCAAAATGAGGAATAAACAAACAGACTGAGCAATTCATTTCCCTCTTAGACACAAATTTCAGTTATAAACAAGAGTAATGACATTCTGCAGAGCCATGGAGCCCATTTCATTTCAGGATCCCATGGAAAGCGGGCAAAGCTGTGGGACCCCCAACACAGCTGGCACACAGTCCTGCTACACGTGCTCCTGCATGGCTGCAACACACATCCCTGGGATCTGCCCTCAGAGTCTCATTGATGCAGCAAGTTCCCATTTATTTCTCATGCTGGCTTTTTACAAGCCTCTGCGTTTTCCTCTCCCCCCTCAAGATGATAGTCCAGACATTGAGATCTACAAAATACACAGTTTTGAGACCTGAGAGCTTACAGCATCCAACTGCAACGCCCATAAAAAAAATCCCAGAAAAATCAAAAACTCCAGCTCCCCAAAAAGACAAACAAAAAGCCCACACAACTCCCCCCCACCCCCACTTCCCTTCAGTCTCTCTACTGAGTGTAAAAAGCTCAGCAGCACTTTAACCCACATGGTGACAGCAGCGTCCCCATCCATTCACAGGCTGCTCTGGCACATTCCAACCAGACCCCATCCACACCCTCTTCCTGTCCAAGGGCGGAAATCCCAGGGGAAATGCCCAAAAGGAAGCGAACCAGCTGCCACCACCCAGTCAGGAAGACCTGGCAGCCACATCAGGCTCCTGCAGCAGCTCCTCACTGGGACCTCCCAGCCAGAACAGCTTCAATAATAAATAGTTTCCATTGGGAATCACCCTCCACAAGCCGTTTCTACTTCAATTTAGCAGACAGGGACAAGAGGCTTACCTCAGGAAAAGGTTTTTCACCCGGAGGGTGGCAGAGCACTGGAAGAGGCTCCCCAGGGAAGTGGTCACAGCCCTAAGCCTGTCCAAGAAGTGTTTGGACAATGCTTTCAGGCACAGGGTGGGATTTTCGGGGTGTCCTGTGCAGGGTTGGACTTGATGATCCTGATGAGTCCCTTCCAACTCAGCACATTCTATGATTCTGTGAGAGGGATGACAGCTTGAGCGAGGACTCCAAAGGCAGGAGGGAAGCAGGAGACAGAGTGCCAGAGGGATGCCTCCTGCACCCAGGGAACGTCAGGTTTGTTTGCTCAGGGAGGAAACCAAGCCCATGGTGACATGGGGACCAGTGAGCTGCACAGAGGCCAATCAGCACCAGGGCTGAGACTGCACAGAGAAGAGATGAAAAGTGGTTCAGTCTGACCTCCCACCAGCCCCGGCTGCACCAGCTTTTTGTCACCAAGCTCCATCCTCACACTGCAGTGGTCCCGAGGGCCAGCAACCTGCTCCTCTCCCTGCTGCTGGTGGGCCTTGCTGGGGGCTGCCTTCCCCCCAGCAGTGAGCCGGGAGCCCCAGCTAAGCTAAGGCAAGGCTGTCCCCATCCTGGCCACTGCCTGGCCACAGGGCCTGGACACAAGGCAGGGCCAGAGTGGAGGCGGTGACAGAGCCCAGCGCTGCCAGAGAGCACAATTGGCTGTTTCCTGAGAAAGGGCAGCATATCCAGAGGCACAAAAGGGGCCATTCTGTTGCCGGCCACGCTCCGGGGGCCAGGGGCTGGGACCAGATGCCAAAGCTGCCACGCAGGGCCCTACCCCTGGCACCCCAAAAGCCAGGGCTGCAGCATGCCTAGCATGCCCCATGTCCTCCCAAGCCACACACTCAGGGCTCAGTACTGTCCCCCTCCCTACACCCATGGGTAAGGCAGGCCCAGGCTGCTGGCAAAAATGTTTCCAGCACTGTGCAAGAACACAGGCAGGCGCCCAGGATCCAAGGGGTGAGACGCTCTCCCCACGCTGACAGAGCCCCTCGCCCTCACACAGCACAAGGCGCCTTTCAGCACCACACAGACACCCCATTCTCCCACTTCTGACCTTCTTGCCCTGACATTTTTGGGATCCAGGCTCCACAGCAGCAAGCGAGGGCACTGGAAGCAGCAGCCTGAGGCCAATCATCATCATCCCCACATGTCCACTCACTAATAGGAGGGGCCGAGTGAGCTGCTCGTTTGCACAAGATGACAGTACAGCTAGGAACTCATTAGGCTCCAACACACACTTGTTTTCCAGGGGGAAGAACATCAAAACCAAGGAAAAGAAGCCACATAGGCTCCAGCCTCCCCAAGGCTTTCACTCCACAGGAGGGAGCTCAGGGAAGCAGCCACAGACCCTCTCGCCCCAACCAGGGGAGCATCAGCCTCGGAGGGATTCTGAGCAGGCAAAGGTGGGTTTGTTATGGAAGGGGGGGGTTTGTTATCGGCAGCAGCAACTCCCTCCAGAGGTACAAAATAATCACAGTGCTCATCAGCTTTGCTTAACGAACCGGCTGTGCAGCCTGCAGAGATAGTTCTGGTTCCAGCATCTCTGATGGGACAGCTGAGAGCCACAGTCTCACCAATGACCAGCCTCTGGGATGCGCTGACTCCCCGAAGCCAGGGTCTGACCCAAGCAATAACAGGCTCAAACCCCCCATCCCACTACAGCGGCCCCAACCAACAGCTCAGAAACCCACAGAGAGCCCAGGGGAAAACCTCAGTGAGGGTTTGGAAACATCTCTCCATCCCTAGAGGGGATGAGCAGGAGACAACATAATCCCAGTTTTAAAAATAAGTCATTTATCAGTTCCAGGGCCGATCCCCCCCTGCTCACAAACACGGACATGCACACACACCAACACACACTGCTGGCACACCCCAGAGCCATGCCTGTGCCACGGAGGCCAGCACGGCTTGCCCGGAGCACGCTCTGCAAGGCAGGGATTTATCACCCACTGCAGCTCCATTTCTTCTCCAAAGCAGCATTTCCAAAGCAGGATGGATGCGGGCTGTGCACACGCACGGCCTCCCTGCCGCCGTGGAAGGCTCTGCAGGACCCGGCTCCGATCGCAGCCGACACACCCAGGGCTCTGTAACCACCTGCCTGAACTGAAGCAGCTGCTGCTGCCACTGGCGTGAATTCTTCCTTCCTCCTCGTACTCCTGTCCCACTCGCTGTCTATTTCCAGGACCATCCTCAAGGAACAACCCCTCGGCGCACTTTCCAGCAGCACTGCCGGGGCCAGCCCCTCGCCCTCCGTGCCGTGGCCGGTGGTGTTACCACTCGGCCAGGGGCACGAGCCAAGCGAGGAGCCTCGAGTCTGCTCCTCGCCGGCAAAATGCAGCAGTGACAACCTCAGCACAGAGCCCACGGCACCCGCGGGAGCCGGAGTCAGCTCCGACACGGAGCGAGGGTTGCTGCTGCCGGAGCGGGAGGTACGGGCGGAAGGGGCACTGCTGACCACATCGGAGGGTCAAGGAGCAGCTCGAGCCCGCGCTCAACGCCCCCCCGAAGGCAGGCTGACGGGTCGGTGGCACCTCCCGGCTTTGCCAGCCGCTGCCCGGCAATGCCCCCCTGCCATCCGGGAGCCGGCAGTGCCCCGTGCTCCGGCGGGCAGCGCTGTGCCAGCTCCCGCCCGGCTGCGGCGGCTCCTCCGGCAGAGCCGGTCTCCTTGAAGCCGCCTTCCGACAACAAAGGCTCAGCCGAGGTTTCGGGCTGGCTGAGGAGGCCTGGGAGAGAGCCAGGAAGGGCAGGAGCCATTAACGCCGGCGTGTCCGGACTTGAGGGAATGACGGAGCAATCAGAGCCGTTTGCCCTCTCCAGAAACTCCGCAGCCCGCTGGGCAGAGCGGCCCTTCGCCGCGCTCCAGCCCTTGCCAGCTGTGCTCTAGCCCTCGCCAGCTGTGCACATCGGGGCAATAAACCTGCGGTCGGGATGTTTTTTTGAGGCAAAACACAAAAATAAAGCGCGAGGACGAGCAAATTCCGTTCTCGCGTGTCACTCAGGCACGTTCTCCAGCAGCTCCACAGATCCTCGGCGCCAGCAAACAGGCTCCGCTGCCAGCCGAGCAGCGACACCCCAAAGCGCGGGCAGTACCCCGGGAATGTCCCCCGGTGCATCGGGGGGCTGCGCTATCAGACCCGCACTTGTGCCGTGCCTCCCCGCCGCGGCTCCCGAAGCGCCGGTCCCGGAGCCCGGCACCACTTAACTTCCATGGCCTCGGAGTTTATCGGATTCCAGCCGCGCTGGGGCGAGGATCGGGGCAGCACCGGCCCCGCACCGGCTCTGCGGCAGCGGCGGGAGCCCGGCACCGCAAACCGCCGGGATCGAAGTGCGGGCTGGGAGGCGAGAATGATGCGACACGCTCCACCGGGAAAAACGGGGCGAGGGGGAACGGCGAGGGCGGGTTTAGGGGAGACGGGGAGGGCGCAGGATCCCCTAAACCCGCGGGCAGGAGCCGGTATCCGGGGGCCGGCGAGTTAGTGCCCGCTCCGCCCGGTAACACATCGCCGCTTCCCAGCGGGACGGCTCCCGGCGAACCGAGGGACCGGGAAGGCCGCGGGCAGCCCTGCTGCCCCCGCCGAGCGGGGACAGGCCCCCCGGGTCTCCCCGCCGAGCGGCGGAAGGTGCCGGGGCGGGCCGGCAGGCGCAGCCGGGAGAGCCGAGCGGGAGCGGGGGGAGCCGCCACGGGCACCGGCTCCCGGGAAGGGCGGAAACCCCCCGACCCCGGCACTTGCTGTAAACCCGCGGGAAGGGCCGCGCCGGGGCCCCGTCGCCCGGCTCTGTGCCCCCTCCCGCCCCGGTGCCGGTACCTACCGGCGGGCCGCGGGAGCCTCCCCGCCCCCGGGCCCGGTGCCCCCTCCCGCCCCGGTGCCGGTACCTACCGGCGGGCCGCGGGAGCCTCCCCGCCGCTGCCCGGGCATCTTGGAGGCGCGGGGACACGGCGGCGGCGGCGGCGCGCGCGGGGCGGGGCGGGGCCGCGCGCTCCCGGTGACCCCGCCCCTCCCGCTCCGCCCCGCCCGGCCCCGCCCCGCCGCAGGTGAGGCCGCGGCGCCGCCGGCAGCGGGGTCCTGCTGGGTCCTAGAGCCCGCCCGCCCCGGGGCTGCGGCGGCACAGGCGTGTGATGCCGTGCGGTGGGAGGGCACCGCGCGCGTGTCCCCGCGGGATGGTGGGCAGCGTGTGTCCTCATGGGATGGAGGGCACTGTGTGCGTCTCTATGGGGTGGAGGGCACTGTGTGCGTCTCTATGGGATGGAGGACAGTGTGTGTCCCCATGGGATGGAGGGCGCTGTGTGCCCCTGTGGGATTGAGGGCGGTGTGTGTCCTTATGGGATCAAGGGCACTGTGTGTCCCCATGAGATAGAGGGCAGTGTGTGTCCCTATGGGATGGAGGACAATGTGTGTCCCCAGGGAGAGTACTGTGTGTCCTTATGGGATGATGGGCAGCACATGTCTCTATGGGATGGAGGGCAGTCTGTGTCCCTATGGGATAGAGGGCAGCGTGTACCTCTCTGGGATGGAGGGCACTGTGTGTTCCCATGGGAGGGTAGACGCATATGTGTTCCTATGGGATTGAGGGCAGCATGTGTCCCTATGTTTATGACGAGGCTCAGTTCCTTGGCAGCATGTCTTTCAACACATTTAGTTTTTTCAAAATGAATAATGCATCAAATGAGGGTTTTCACCGCCTGGTTCGGCGTCATGGAGGGACATCCTGGTGTTCTCTGTACAGCAAACCGGCTCAGGGTGAGGTTGGATTGTTAGGTGTGAAGTGCACATATACGTGTATCCACGGCAATAACATCAAAGGGAAGCATGGGAGGGGGAACCCAGAACTGTAATTTATTCCTTGGTAACATGGGGACGTGCTGCACGGGTTATTTATATTTGAAGGCTGCCCTGAGTGCTAAATGAGCCATCTTTTTAAAATAAACATGAGGGAAAATACATCCAGGCTCCTGGTGTGTTTTAAGGTGAGGCCTGCGAGCTGCCGGCAGGTGCTGGAGAAGGCACAGACGCCTCCTCTCTGCCATTAACACCATCATCACTGCACAGACACACACACACACACACACAAGCACTGTGTTTGTCCAGGCAGACACCGAGCACGTGGCAGCTGTCCCACTGTGGCTCTCCAGTGGGACAGGATAGATGCATGGCTGCCAAGCAGCTCAGGCCACCACCACCACAGCCAGCCTTTTTCTCACCTGGTTCACTACACAGAGGGATCACGAATGCTTGTTCCCAGGAAGGTCTGACAGCAGGGGAGTTAGTATGCACCACATCGCTTGCATTGAACCCCATCTCTGCTTTCTGGTAGCAAAAGCACAGCCCAGGCAGCTGCGGCCAAATCACAGAGCTCAGAGCTGTCCTGGGACCAGCCCTTGTCTCTGCATCTGCATAGGGATGTGAGGTGAGTGACCAGCCAGACCAGAGCCTGACACAGCCCCATCCTCTGTCCCTCGGATGGGCAGGAAATTAAAGCCACTTTTCCAAATTCAGAGCCACATCTGGTAGCCAGGGGTGGGTTCAGGCTTTGAGCGCAGCTGGAGTGGGTGGCTGGGCACCAGCACAGATGTGCAGCCCACAGACATGGCACATCATGAGACCACTAACAACGAGCAGATGGCTGCAGGTCGCAGCAAAGCCCCACTACCAAGGATTTGTGGGTGACAGTCCTACTGCCTGGGCACAGATACCAGCAGCAACTCAGCCCTGAGCTCAGAGAGCCTCAGCCTTCCTCCCACAGCAGCCCACAGCACACAGCAGTGGCCAGCTCCATAGCATGACCATGTCCCACCAGCTCCAAGCTCCAGTGACAGCCCCACTGCACAGGGTGAGCAGGGCTGGGGCGCTTGGGGTCCTGGAGCAGCTGCTGGGGTGATGCAGCAGGGATCAGCCTCACTGTCTCCTCTGCACTCTGGGAACCAGCTCGTGGGGCTGGAGCAGCTGTTGGGATGATGCAGCAGAGACTGGCCCTGGTGCCTCCTCTGCCCTCCGGGATCTGGTTGCTGCTGGCACTCACAAGCTGAGGGACTATGGTGGATGTGCACAGCTGTGGCTCCAGCTGTTGAACAGACCCAATGCCAAGGTCTAGAGTGGGCTGGGATGCACCAGACCATAGCTCAGAGACGAAAAATATTTAAGTCTCTCAAACAATTTTCCTCATGGATCACCACAGACGTCAGCCTCGCTTGCAGCCTGATGAGTGCCAGGATTAGCTGGGCTCCTGCATTAACCGCCGGAGGTGTCAGAGGTGACCTTGGGCAAATATTTACAATTACTGCGGTGCCGTGTCTGTGCATGTGCTCAAAACACAGAGGGGATTGGGTTCAGATGGCGCTTTAATGAGCAGCAGGACAGTGGGAGGGTAGGGCTTCTCATGCTGATGTGTTGAGCACTCCAGCGTGGGGAGATCATCTCTGTCTGCCCACAAAGGCATGTCGGAGTGGCGAGTGCTCAGCCGCCCTTCCAGGACCTGTGCACTTTGAATAAAGACCGTCTTGTTTTCTGTATCACACGGCTGTGAGCGTGTTGCTGGGAATCTGGGAATTGCAGTTTTCCTGCCCAAGGCTGGTCTGTGCTCACATCCACATCACACGGGCAGCAATGGAAACACTTGAGTTGTGCCGCGTGCTTGGGATGCAAACTGAATAAATAACATGAGGTTATAAAGCAGGATTCCCCCTCGAAAATTTGTTCTTCCAGTGGAAAACACAGAGGAGGAAAAAATCCTTTTAAATTCTTCAGCCCTCTTCCACTCCTTATGAAATGCAGGAGTAGAGATGAGCAGGGATGGATGAATGAATTCCCCCAGAATAATCTCTCCTCGATTCCTTTCTACATTTTGATGACTTCATTCCTCCAGCTCTCATTAGCACCTCCTTTATCCCCAGTTCTTCTCCAAAGGCATTCTGCTCTTGCTCCCTGCTGCTGCGCAGGGAGCAGCAGAGCAGGGATGGAAGCAGATGCTGTGCACCACCTCATGTTGAGGCCTGGAATTTCAGAGCCTGATCCCAGCTCCAGCCCTCTCCCATGGCGAGAGAGGTGAAGACCTCCCCTGCCCCAGAACTCTCCTTACTGGTTAAGCATCCACTTGTCCGACACCTCATCCTCACACAAGGAACCAGTGGCATTGTCCCGCCCTCCGTTAAGGCTCCACAGTCCAACATATCCCTGCTGAAGCCCCCGCAGCCAGATGAGCTTTCTCACAGGCTCTGAGGGCTGATTTCCAGAGAGGAAGGTCTGTTCTCTGAAGTGCACCCCTTCTCTGCACTCAAACCAACCCTGGATGCCTCTTGATCCAGCCCAGCTCTGTCAAAGGGGGTCACAGGATTTTCTGCCACCCTGTTTGTGAGCAATCTCGTGCTCTGCCTCCTTTCTGGGGTCCCCAGGAGGGAAACTCTCACCTGGGTAAGGAGGCAGGGGGTTGACAGGTGAGAACTATCCACACAGGCTTTCAGCCATCCCCTGCACATCTCTGTACTGCCAATGCTCTTTGCACTCCCCTAAGCCAGATCTCAGCCAGCAGATTTGCTCACAAAGTCCTGTTGGACCAGCAAAAAGGATCCTGAGTCCCTTAGGTCAGGCATGCAGAGGGATCACACTCTGCTTGTGCTTTTCCCTGGCATTCTCTGGTTGTGGGTCCCAGCTCTCACTTATTAAAGTTGGAAAAATTGTGTGTGATGCTTTGCAGAGCCCATGGGTCATTTTTGAGCTCCAGAGGAACCACACATCTGTAGTTCTGCATTCAGCACAACATCCCACACTCAAAGCCAGCTGTGGTGGCCTGAGCTGCACCTGCACCAGTCCCTGGATGGAAGAGATGTCCCAGCCCAGCCAGCCTTGCACCCAAGGGCACTGTTTTGACCCCCAAACAGTCAATTCAGTAGGAAATAAACCAAGTGGGAAGTACAAGTGTTACTCCCAAGGTCACACACTGCAGAACAGGACACTGCACTTGGTGGGGGATGCACTGCAAGAAGCAGGGCTGCACTGCTGGAATGTTCCCCATGAACTTTGTTTCAGGCTGCTGGAACTGCTGTGTGGAGCATCCAAGGGGAATGCTGGTTCTCAAGGCACAGAGATTTCTGAAGACACACATCCAAAGCTGCATATGAGAATGCTCCCTTGGACATACACATCCCTGAGCTGGCACAAAGGAAAAGGGAGGCTACACCACAGCTGCATTCCCCAGCTCCTAGCCAAGGACGGCTCAGGTAGGGACTGAGCTGACTTTGGGAATGCTGCAGGTAACCTCTGTGCCATGCAGAAGAGAAACCAGCTCTCAGCAGCCAAACCAGCCTTCTCCAAGCCCAGCCTGCCACTGGCATCACCAGACCTGCCCTGACTCACCATGCTGCAGGGAGAATGCCCCCTTCCCAACTCACGGCTCACACACACTCAGAGCAGCCCTTCCATGTTTATGTGAATCTCCCACTTTCTCTGAGCCTCACACATCGACAGGTAACAGGTATTCCACTGTTACAGCTTTTTCACCCCAGCATTGGGTTACCTTAGCAATTAAACAAAGCAAACATGCACTTAGTAAGACTTAGGTCAGGCTTATAACCAGAAAAAAAGCTATATGCTGACTCCAGAGCACTCAAAATTTCCTCAACAACCATCATCTGCGCTCCAAGGACATCAAAGACTTTCCAAAAAGCAAAGATGTGCTTCCCCAGCTTATATATTCCCCCACCCCCTCGCCTGCAGCACCCAGCAAGTGGTTCCTCCTCCCCATTCACACCTCATCAGCTAGAAGGTGAGAGAGAAAATGAGTGCTGAGCTTGAGGGAATTTAAGTAGAGACAAAGGACAGCAGATCCTCTGTTGGGATTCACAGTAGCACCTCTGGGCAGGACCAGGTGCCGGGCAGGGAACTGGGGAGACAGGGCTGAGGTTTGCCAGGGCAGAATCCCCGTTTCGGCTGAGCATACCATACCTGTGCGGGTCACATGGGGCTGTCCTGAG